GGACTTTCAGTCGTGTAGCTTAGGACTGGATTAACTTTTTTGGCAGGCATATCCTCATATTGACTCATGCTAAACGTTCCCTCAACTAAAACCAGCAGGCACATTTTTCATATATTTGGTATTAAGTCAAACCTTCCACATCCTGTGTTTGTACTGTTCATTTTTGGACCTAAAAGCTAGACTTTATATTTATTCCTATTAAGTTTCTTTGTGTGTGATTCAATCCGTTGTTCCAGATGATTCTGTCATCTGACACATTATCAAACCCTGCAGCTTCTTGGCATGTAAATATGATCCACAGACACCATCATTTGATGCCAATGCTCAGCAGGCCAGCATTAAAAATAAAATTTGAGCAAACTTTTTTTTTTCTGGTAAGCTTATATGGATAGAATCACTAGCAGTCTTGTGGTAACAGCTTCTCAAATAGCTAATAATCCCTCTGGTGTATATTTCTCTCTGTCATCCATAGGACATCATGAGACAAGGCTAATGTCGAGGAGGGTACCTCCTCTATGTGAAGTCCAAAGACTAGAACAGGGGTTTTCAACCTTCACACTGACAGTCTGTGTAGGACAAGTCACTTGTCTTGTACATTGTAGGATGCTTAGCCCCATCCCTGATCTCTACCCAGGACATGGAATAGGAACTCCATCCTTGCCTCCTATCCCCTCAAAACTGTGACAATTAAATGTCTTGAGATAGAGCCAAAAGTTCCTTGGGGAGCAAAATTATCCCTCCACCACCTCACTGAGAAACACTATTCTGGACTCGGCATTTCTCCAATCTAATATAGTAACTCAATCCACCTGACCATTTCATAGCTATAGTTATGAGTAAACTATTCATATATAGCACCAAATAGTTCCATCTCATAATTTAGATATGTAGAAAATAGTGAGATATGGAAATCATAATAAAATAATGGGAGAAATGGAGAGGTATGATATAATCCTAAAATTTAGAATTACATTTAGATTAACCCTTAAATTAAACAGTTACAGGGAAATTGAGCCTCCAAACAGCAATTCTCTTATTTGAAAAGGAAATCTATAAAAATGTTTGTACCCGGTGCTCATCAAGGAATTACTATTTGGAACAGTGAAAACTGGAAACACTACGTGTTTGGCAATAGAAGATAAATTATGGTATATTGATCTCACAGAATATTAGATAGTCCTCAAAATTACATATTTTTGTCCTAGTTAGTTTTGCTGAGTGGATAGAGCATCCCAAGTTTGATCCCAATCAAGGGCCCATAACTTGGTGGGGTGCATGCGGGAGGCAACCAGTCCATGTGTCTCTCTCAGAGCGATGTTTCTCTCCCTCCCTTCTACTCTCCCTACAAATCAATGGAAAAATATCCTCGGTGAGGATTAAAAAATAAATAAATAAGTAAATTACATATTTTCAAAATATCAATGAAAATGTTCATATTATAATGCTATGAAAAAAAGGTAAGATACTATATAGGACATCTGCAAAAATTGTGTACATACTTTAACAGCTGATAAATCACTTAGATTTTGCTCCTTTTCAGGTTTAACTGATTTGAAATAATGGGTGAACAAAGAAATTTATCTTATAGTGCCATTAGACATTTTTTTTATGGGGATACATAAAATATAACGTTTAAAGTACAAAACCCACAATAGCTGACGAACTGAGGACACACAAATACCCAATGCAATGGTTATGGGTGTTTGTGATTCCACTGCTGCCTGTTATTAGCAGTGCCTAGACCAGAACGGTCATCAGTTTGAAAACAGGCATTGCCAAAAAAATTATTCACTTTTGTAGATACTTTTAAATTTTGAAAAGGAACTGTCTATTAATGAACATGACTTTATAATAATTCAAAACACAGGTATACCTTTTGAGACACCCTGTATAGTCTGTATGGATACCAAGTTTTCAAATGAATAATATACATAGTAAAAAGATTCTGCAAAATTCATAGTGGTAATGAAATTATAATGAAAGTATGCATGATTTTAATAGTCTTCTTTATACTTTTTTATGTTTCCAAAATTTTCTTAATGAACTTATAGTTTTTCCATGCTTTTTTGTGCATGGGAGGTGCTGGGAAAAGTGATCTTTATTCCCTTAGGCATGAGTACTGGCAAGATTCCTGTGTGTGTGCAATACCGTGTGCAGTGAGGGAGGCTGCTACAGAGAGGATGTATGAGAAAGAAGACTGTATTTTTAGACTGTGTTATTCAATCCTCTTGGGGGGAAAAATCTGTGTATCATTTTTCATAGAATAAGAATAGTTCAATGTTCCAGCCAAACCCTGCCCCTCCAAGTCAGTGGTCCTCTGACATTACAATGCTGAAGAATACCTGGGCTCACCTACTAAACACAGTCTCCTGGGCTTAACTCCCAAGGGTCTCATCCTGCACGGCTGGTGTGGGACTTAGGAATCTTCATTTTTAATAAGCATCTCAAGTGATTCATTCTGATGTAGGTGGCCCATGAACCACACTTTGAGAAACTCAGCTATAGGAAGTCATGTGGTTTGATTTGGATGAGAGTTGTGTTTTTTGCCTCTATTTTTGAGAATTTCTTCCTGGGTACTCACTAAATAGCCCTTCAGTGGTGTGTTAGTAAGCTGGCTCTTTGAAAAGGCAAACTCAAACTTTTCGCATTTGCCAATTTCTATGGAGTAGTAAATATTCTCACCATAACCAATTTCAAGCTATCAATGGTTTATCAACTAGCTCACAGAATTCTTAAAAGCTTAATAATTGTCTCTCACAAGCCGGTATAAGCTGGCTTCAACACTGTATGGTATATAGTGTATATAAGTGCTTTAAATCCTTTGTAAAAGGGATACATTAATAAAAAAATTAGTAACTTGATGATATTTAGAACATAGCAGTAAGCAATAGGATGGCTTGAGTCATCTTAAGGTAATAAATTCTAAATGTATTAGGAAAAAGACAACTTTATGAACTTGTATACACTATTCCTTATTTTGCTCTATGTTTTCCAAGGCCATGCCATGAAGAGTGAAAGGCTCACTGAGTTCTTTAAGAGTTGTGAATTGGTTTCCTATGGATGATGGAGAGCCAAGAAATGGGACTCCGGGGTTGGGAGTAATGCCAAGTGTTCAGCCCCCACCTCTACCCTCTGTGGCCCTCGGCCCCTGAGCTGTTGAAATGCCCTTGGCCATTCATTCTATGGCACCCATCCATAAAGTCAACTCCTCCAGCTTCTTCCCCTCACACATGATTGAGACAAGTTGTCTCTAGGAAACCCAGATCAGATGTGTTCATGTGTGGGACGTGGCCTAAGTGAAGGCTAATAGCATATTTCTTTCAATATTTTGACCAGACATATTTTTTTTAAAAAATGGACCTGAAGCCTATACAGCCAGCTGAGGCGAATTTACAGCCTTGCTTCAAGAACAAAACTCCCTCAGGCACCTGCTTCCTAAAAGCAAAACCAGAAAGGAAATGAACTCTTGCTTAAAGACAACCCACCTTATTTTATGGATTATCAATTTTCTAGCTGGCACACAGTTCCCTAGCTACTAAGAATATCTCCTCCCTTCCCACCCCACCTCCTGCCCCAACCCCAAGCAAGTATTGAGCCATGAAATAATGAAGTCTGCATTCTAGCAAACCGCTCAGTTTCCAGAGGATGAGGCATAGGATGTGGGGCCTCAGTAAGTAAAGCCAAGGGAGCAGCACACTGTGATGTGGGCTCACCACACTGATGTCTTTGCCAATACATGCATTAAAATCTTTGCCCGAAATGCATTCTCTATTTCAGGGTTACTGCCGTTTGGGCGACGCTAGAGAATCTGTCTTTCTTGTCTTGGGGCAGCGGGGCCAGGCGAATAGTCCACAACAATGGAATGCACTTGATTTCCTTGTAACTGCTCCACTGAGCCTGGGATGGAGCCTATCAACTCCTCAAATATGAGAAAAGACTAAATAGTTTCTTCTTTTCCCCCCCTGTTGATAAAGCCAGCCTTCCCAATGGGAATAGACTATAAAATAGAGGTCAAAGGTTAACTGTAGACACTCGTAGTCTGCTCTGTGCTAGAAAACATGAATAAATATGATTTTCTTTGTATACATGCCAGAGTATTAAAATAAATATGAAAAATTCTTGTTTTTTTTTTTTTTGTTTGTTTTTTTAAAGGACTGAAAAAAAGCAAGTGTAAAGTTGGACAAATCTGACCTGATACACCATGAAGTCAGAATTGAATATTTAAAATTATATGCTAGTTTTGTCAAATCTCAGGCTTTCTCCGAGTTTCACTTAGTTGTAAAGGCACAACTAAATATGGAGAAATATGAATATTCTACTGCATGTTTTGAAATCAGGTATCTATGCATCTACTTGGGATAAAAGCCAGGGTTAACATCACAGATACATGAAGAACCTCTTGTCCAAATGGGAACATTAAGCTCCTCAAACTGGAGAATGCAGTCCTTGCAAACTGTCATTATTTCAGTAAATGGAATGGGTCCTTTAACAGATGGGCAACATACTTTGCAACTTGCTGATAGCTTAATAAAAGACACTGGCTTTTAAAAAATGAAGGACTTGTACTTCTCAAGTTACAGTACCCAAATGGATTTAGCAGAATAAAATTAAGAAGACATACAACAGTTTGACAAAAATTAGGAACAGACTGTGGAAATATGATCGTTCAAAACATCAACATCAAAATGATCTTTTTTTTTTACTTAAAAAACAAACTAGCTGTTTAAACCATACGGAAAATATACATTGATAAAGTCAAAACCAGGGGGTATTATAAAATTATAAATACTGACATAATAAAAAAATGAAGTTAATTTCTTCTCAAAATATAATAAAAAACCTTCAAGACAAGCAATCCCCTTTTATATCATGTACTTTTCAGTTTGTATCAGTCAACCTCTTATGCTACTTAAAGTAAAATTTCCCCAGTTGATGGATGCAATAACCAAATGAAACCCAGACTCTGGCACACACACAACAGGGCCAGCCTTTCTTCTCACCTTTCCCGTTCCTCTTTCATCTTCTCCAGCTCCTCTTCTCGCAGTCCCCCATGCTTCAGAGGACCTTTCTGTTCAGCCTTCCCACCTTTCTCATCTTTCTTCTTTCCAAATCTAGTAAAACACAAAGGAGAAGATGGTTGTTAACAATAACCATGATCTTGTTATGGTAAATTTAAGATATTTATGAGATGAATCCATTAAACTATAATTCTTTATACTAAGTAATACAAAATCATTTTGCAGATAATGGAAGTAAAGATATTGAAAGCAGAAAAATAACATCGTTACTGAATTCTCTTCCTTCTGCTCTTCCTCTTTCCACTCAGATATTGATTGTGCAGCATGCACAAAATCAGATGGTTAAAGACTAAAAATGTCAAACCATTCATTCAGTAGAGATTAAAAAACTGAAAGGTTATCACCAACCTCTGAAACAGGACTCCAGAGCTCCAAGTGGCATGAAGATTTAAGGTTCAACTCATGAGATGATATAACGATGGTGCTGCAAGGGACCTTACTGAACACCTACTTAAATACTGTCATTTTACAGATAGAGAACTGAAAGCTCTGAGAGGCTTTGGGCCTTGACCAAGACCACCTAACAAGTTCTGTACAGGGCTGGGGTTAGAACTTGGGTTGCCTCCTCCACCACCTTCTTTCCTTCTCATCATATTTAACCTCCAAAGAGCCACAGGCTTCTTAAGTCAGCCCAGGGTGAGTGTGCTCTGAGCACCCCTTGGTGTCAGGCACATTTGTTGTTAACTGGACACAGTGGCACTTATGATACCTTATGTTTTTTCTCAACCTTTATTGAGATACAATAGACATATAACATTGTATAAATTTAAGGTGTACAGTAATTAATAAAGAATAATACAAGAATAAATTATGTTTTGCATACTCACAACTATAAACCTACTTTTGGCCCACCCTGTGTATTCCACTTCTCCTTTATCCATTTGTCTGCTGATGGATACTTAGGATGTTTTCATATCTTGGCTATTGTGACTAATGCTGCAATGAACATGGAAATGCAGATATCTCTGCAAGATCCTGCTTTCAATTCTTTTGGATATATATCTGGAATATAGTGGATTCTGGATTGCTTGATCATATGTCAGTTCCAGTTTTAATTTTTTGAGGAACTTCCATACTGTTTTCAATAATGACTGTACCAACTTACATTCCCAGTCAACAGTGCACTAGAGTTCCATTTAAAAGAACAGTGAATTTCCTCAGCATTTTGAGAAACATAAAATTGCCCATTTGAAATAAAAAAGCTGTTAAATTATTAGCAGGACACATTCTTAAATACAGACATTTTTCCCAACAAATATTTTCTTCAAAAACAATCTCCCATGGTCTTGGTATCAACACACATAAAAAATAAAAAGACTTGATGTTCTGTTAATAAACAGAAAAAATGTCACTAAGAACATGTTTCAAATTACACATTCTCGGGCTGACTGCTCCATCCCCACCAATCCCGCTCTTTGTTTCCCAATCTTTAGACAAATGCACAATGAGTCAGAATCTCCTCACATGAGGGCCTGGCTAATAAACTTGTAAGAACTCTTGTTTTCTTCTGAATTTCATACAAATGGGTTATTATTGTTTTTTCTAGATTGTGTTTTCATCTACAGCAGAGGTTGTGCCCTAGCTGGTTTTGCTCAGTGGATAGAGCATTGGCCTGCAGACCAAAGGGTCCTGGGTTTGAGTCCAGTCAAGGGCATATACCTGGTTAAGGGCATACAGGAGGCAACCAATCAATGTGTTTCTCTCACTTCGATATTTCTCTCTGTCTTTCCCTCTTTCTAAAAAAATCAATAGAAAAAATTTCCTCAGGTGAGGATTAAGAAACAAACAAAACAAAAACAAAGCGGAGGTTGTTAGTCAAGTGGCAGTTCTAAGTATCGCACGTGGAAGACATCACCACTAATATCTACATTCTTGTTGGTATCAGAGTACAGATGCATCCTACTTTCCTCAGAGTCTCTCCCAATTGGGGCTTTTCTGCATATTGTGCAATTTCTAATTCCAATTAATAAATCCTCTTTCATGAACTTTCTCTCTTCTCATTGCTATCTCTCTATAGGCCTCTGTTCCTACTGCATTCCCCCACCCCATCTCCTTATTCAGTCTAGTTGTGGGATGTTGGTTGATCAAGTATCAGCTTTAATTCCAACATCACCAGCCTTTTTACTATCTCTCTCTTTCCTGCCTACCTTTCTGCATCTTTCTTTTTCTCAATGAAGAAATGACCTGATATCAGTTATAGATGTAAACAAGGAAGAAAGAGAAAAATACAAAATTCAAGAGCATTAACTTTCAAATAAAATTGAGATTTGCTGATATATTCAAGGTCTCTCTTAAACCTACAAAGCAGGAGATATTCCAATACTGTGTGTTTCCATGAATATATTATTTAGTTTTTCAGACTCTTGCAGAAAAGTCTTAGAAGTCAATATTATTATTCTAAAATTCTTTATGAAAGAAGTTAATACCTTAGTATATCACATAGAGAAACAATTTTCCCTTAAAATGTCATCAGATATAGTAATATTTGGGCAAAAAATAAAAATTGTGGGTAGTGAGGATAGAATAATGCTTCAGGAAGTTGATAAGGGCAAAAATTTTGCCAAAACCTCTATAGATATTTTCTCTGTGTCCTAAATACCTTCTTCTAAGTTTGAAGGTTTTGGATTTTCTGAGACAAAAGTAGTTTTGTTTTTAAAGGATAAAATTAAACTATGCCCTAGTATACTTTGATCTTTATTACCACAACCAATCAAGTGTTTTTCCTTCCTGCAGCTGAAGTATTTCAGTTATACTGCAGCTTGAGAATAGCTTACTATACTCCCACCCTAGTGGAAGATGTTTGATCAAGAAAAGGTTGATTGTAAGTAAATTTAGCAAAGCATTTTCTTCTTAACAAGAATCATCAGTAATAAACCAACCAACCAATTCCATAAGTATTATAATTCTTTTGAATTAAAGTTCATGATCATTTACTAAAGTTTCTAATAAGAAGGGTGTTCATAGCTGAGAATTTTATTTCATTAACCAGAGAGAACAGTCACAAATTATTTTATTTTATAAAGTTTGGATAGGAATTATAAAACAATAATCTTTAAAAGAACTCCCATATTGTTAAGATGAGGAAATTAAGAGCCAGAGAAGTTAACTACATTTTATTTATTAACACACAGAATTCTTTATTCCAGTTTTTGCAATCAAACAATTATCAGTAGTGGTGGTGGTAGTGGTAGTAGGGAGTTGGGCGAAAAGCATCAATTTGATGAATTTTACAAGGCTTTGTTCTGCTTTCCAAAGCAGCCTCTTTGGGGTCATTTCACAGCCATTCTTGCTTTCCCTGACACACAGGAAGAGGAGTTGGGGAGACTCAGATACCTTGATTCACTTCCCCATTAGCTATTTTTTGTAAGAAAATTCATGAGGACCCTAAATGGCTGAAATTGCTGCTTTACATTCTAGGGTTTCAAATATCCACCGCATTCCAGGCCTCCCATTATCTATTACCTCGGAAATTCAAGATTGGCCATTCTGGGCGAGGTGCCTTAAGGAAATTGCTTTCAGGTCAACCTTGTTTTATAGAAAAGATATTTTCCTGAAGAGTTCTGTGCACACATATGGTTTCAATCAATAGAATCGTATGTTCCATGTACTTGGGAAGCCTGTTTAAAGAATTTTATGATGGATCTTTTTGTAAAGTGGAAAAATCACCTTTCAACATACCCTTTATGTAAATTTAGATTTTCATGAATTATAAGTTTGCTTAAAACACCTGTCCCTGTTCATTTCTATGGAGAGGTTATATGAAACAGCTTCATGGAAAACTAGCTTGCTAGCTTTCTTCTCTCCTTCATGCATTTGTTTTAAAAATATTTATTAGGCATCTCTTCCGTGTCATAGTACTTAGGGGTGGTACTGTACTGGTATACAAAACCAGGCACTACCTCATGGAATTGACATTCTAATAGAGAAGACTGTTACCAAACAAGTGTGTGTGTGTATATATATATATATATATACACACACACACACACACACAGTTGTAAGTTGTGAAAAGTGCTATGAAGGGTATTAAGAGAGACAATGCTAGGATCTTATTGGGAAAGTGCTCAGTGAGGAAATGACATTAAAACTGATACTACAAGGGTGAGAGGTCCAGATAAGTAAAGAAAGGAGGTAAGCCTTGTCAGTGGGAGAATCAGCACACGCAGAGGACAAGAGGTAGGAAAGGCTTGGTGCATCCCAGGCAACGACAGAAGGTCAGAGTCGCTGAAGGAATGAGAACAGAGCAGATACTTGCACAGGATCCTGAGGGCTAGGAGGGCAAGGACCAGAGTGCAGGTCTGAGAGAAGCTCAGAGTTTAGTCTCAGAGTGACTGTAGGTCATTCCTTGGCAATTCAAGGAACAGAGAAGCTAGCCAAGGAGATTTAAAGAGTGTTAGAGGAGAAACCAAGTCATTTTAAGCAGAGATGACAACGTAATGTACATTTTATTTTAATCTTCACCCGAGATATGTTGAGAGACACACACACACACACACACACACACACACACACACACACACACACAGAGAGAGAGAGAGAGAGAGAGAGAGAGAGAGAGAGAGGTTGGTTATTTGGCAATTGGTAGCCATTCATCAACTTGGCAAGGTTCACTGGAGAGGTGTGAGCAGAGGCCAAGTGCTCTCAACAATGAATGGCAGGTAAGTATAAAATTTTGTGTCTCTGTGTGTATACAACCATTGCTGGTAGGATGGGAGCTAGAGGCAGGGTGGAAAGTTCAAGAAGGACATTTTCAATTTGGCTGATATTGAAGGACTTTTGTTGCTGAGAGAGAAAAAATGCCACAGAGTGTGAAAGGTTAGAGATGGAACAGAGAAGAGAATAAAGTTATGTTTTTACTGTGGTAAAATATACATAACAAAATATACCATTTTAATAATTTTAAGTGTATATTTTAGAGGCATTAAGTACATGCACATTGTAGTGCAATCTTGAACCACCATTCTTTACCAGAATATTTTGATCATCCTCTGATTCCAATTCTGTATCCACTCAGTAACTCCCCATTTCCCTTC